TCTGTCTCCTCTGAGAGGCCAGCGTGTCCTCAGGTGTCCTGTGTCAGAGGGACTCACGTGGCTCCCTGGGCAGCGCGTGCTCCTTTCCTTGGATGCAGGGCTGTTTCATACCCTTTAACATTAACCCCGGAGCTGGGATCGGCTTTCTTGGCTAAAGGGCACTGGCAGCGCGGTTCCTGCAAGCTGCTGGTACTCCTGTAAGCTGCAGATGTTTTACATTCTTTGGGACCAAGATCCTTGTGCAAGTGTTTTGAAAACTACCCTTGCACTGGAGCAACTTCTTTCAGGAATGTCTCACATGTAAAAAGGATCAGGGTTTCTCTCAGTTGAAAATATCTGGATGCATATAAACAAATCCTGGGGTTCTGTTAGGTCTGCGATAGCAAAGAGAGGGCTTTGCAAAATGTTTCACATTCTTCTAGGTCTGCTGTACATTCAAGGTGATTCCCTAAAACATAAATTTTATCTTCTTTTACCTAGTTAAAAGAAATTTCATAAAAATAACAACAACAATAACTTGAAAACCAGAGAAAGGAGCAAGACTGGGTCTAGACTGAAAATTCAGTGTCCTTGGGGTCCCCATCAGGAGGGAAATCTCAGACCTTCAGCAAGGTGGCCTCAGCTTGGTCTTCTCATCTCCCTCAGCACAGCAGTGATTCAGGTACAGATGCCTGGAGTGCTTAATGCTCCAATGGACGAAGAATAACACATGTGCCAGCCACATAGCCCTGGAGGGTAGAACCACAAAGCCAATTTGAGGATATTCAACCTGCCAGACTTCCTCTTCCCAAATGTCAAGAGATTTGGGAAAAAAAAAAACTCATCCTTTCCTTACATTCTTTTTTTTAAAAAAGATTTATTTATTTATGCATACAAGAACTGGGGTACAGGCCAGAGGTGTGAGGGGTGAGAGGATTCACCAGAGACAGAGGGCCACAGAACAGGCAGATTGACTCAAATATACTACTGAGGGGAGCAGCGGGCGAGTCAGGAGAGGTCTGCTGTGCCAAGTGGATATCTCCCTGGCCAGGATCAAACCCGCGCTGCAGTGGCTGCGGTAAGCTTCATAGGTTGCGTCTTAACCCTTTGTGCCACCAGGGAGGCCCCCTTCCTTATATTCTGAAACACTAAAGGCCAATGCAAGGCCCTCGGTGAAGAAATGGACCAACAATCAAATCTAAACCCTGAGCCAAGAATGGACAATAGTCAAACATCCTGTTTATAGGAGGAAGCAGAAGTTGGAAGCAGCAGCTCCCCTGGGTCTCCAATCTGGAAAGATTTGTTTCCTTCCTTTCAAACACAGCCAGGTCTCCTGTAGTTTCTAAGCTCCTCCTGCGCTCAGCCCCGACTTGTGTTTTCTTATAACCCAAGACTCAAACTTGAAAGCTGTGTTTTTTCTGCTAACCCCTGAGGGCTTCAGGGAGGAGGTGAGGAGCAAGGTGAGCCAATGTCTGCTCTCATTTCTAAGGGGCCTGGAGGCCTGGTTTTAACTGTTTTTTTCTGTGGCAGCAAATGATTTGACTTTTGTTTCTTTCATAGTTCTGTATAGGCCTAGCTCCAAAAGTAGGTCCCTTGCCCTGAGGGGAAGACTTCATAAGAGAGCACCAGGTGTAGCTGAACCAGGCGACGCTTTATTAGAGACTCATACAGCATGAGGGAGGCAGTGCAGGAAAGAAGTTAGCCTGGCTCTGTGAAGGGAGTGAGGAAGACACAGTTAGAGGGTAAGTCTGGGAGGCAGGGCAGAAAACAGCATCAGCACAGCTTCTGAGATGGGCTACTCCCGGACAGGTTACACTCAACGATATCTACGGGCTCTTGGCCTTCTCCAAGAAATTGTGCGCTAATCATTAGTCAGGACCTAACACTTTTTTTTTTTTTTTTTTTTTTAATAGAGGCATGTTTATTTATTTTATTTGTTTGTTTGTTTGTTTGTTTTTGTTTTTGTTTATACATGCACTGGGTACAGTCAGAAGCGCGGGAGGGTGAGAGAATTCACCAGAGCCAGAGCGGGGAGCAGAGCAGGCAGAAGGACCGAAGGACACTGCTGAGGGGAGCAGCGGGCGGCAGGAGAGGTCTGCGCGCCATGTGGGACCCTCCTCTGGTGGCCGGGGAGCAGCCAGGGATCGAACCGGCGCTGCAGAGGCCGCGGGCAGCTTCGCAACCGAGCGCTCAACCGCTGCGCCACCGGGGAGGCCCAGGACCTAACACTTTTTATCTAGCATGGTTCCTTATGGTCAGCGTAGTGGGCCAAATTGTTTGGACACATCTCACCAGTCCAGTCCATGATTCAGTCCACTTGTTCAAACAGGACTTGGGGCAACTCTTATTCTATTGGCCTGCAATTTCTCTTACCGAGGTTGCGTTGGTTCCTACAAATGACAAAGACAGCACCCCTTGTGATGAGCAAAAATGTAGACAACTGAGAACAATCTAAACTCAGAAATTATTTAAAATTATTATGGCTTATCTATGCAAGGAAGGCTCTGTAGGTATTACAAAGTAATGGCCTGGTTTTTCCCCTGCTCATGTGGAAGTTTCTCAGGCATAGTACTAAAGGAAGAAAGCAAACTACCAAGAATAATGATCCCATTTTTGTTTTTAAAACAGGCAGGGCATCTCTATTAGAAACATGTTTGGGTCTTGATTTGACCAAGTCATTTGTAAAATGCTACTTTAGAGACAAGAGGAAATTTGAGTTTGAACAGGGTATTTGATGAACTCGAGGAGGGTTTTTTGTTGTTATTGTTGTTGTTTTACTGTTTTCATTGAATGTGACAAGATGTTAAAGTCAAGTGAGAAATGCCCCCCTTTTTTATACAAAAACGGGGTACAGGCCAGATGCGCGGGAGGGTGAGAGGATTTACCAGAGACAGAGTGGGGAACAGAACAGGCAGACTGATGAAATATACTGCTGACGGGAGCAGCGGGTGAGACAGGAGAGGTCTGCTCACCATGTGGGTTGTTCTGAGGCTGGCAGCGATCAAACAGCCATTGCAGAGGCTGCGGAGCGCTTCACAGTGCTGCGCCTAACCACCTGTGCCACCAGGGAGGTCCAGTAATGCCCTTATTTTCAAATGATGCACAACAAGAATGGAGGGGTGAATTGACATTACTTCGGGATGTTTCTTAAAAATTCAAAAGAGGGAAAACAAAAAAGGGACAGAAAAAAGTGACTGAGGCAGTTGATTTTACTATTCTCTTTTCATGTTTAAAAAGTCTTCATAATGAGAAATTGAGGATACCGGGGCCTCCCTGGTGGTGCAAGGAGTTAAGTCTCAGCACTATGAAGCTATCTGCAGCAAAAAAGCGCAAGTCAAACCATTTGACAGGGTGTGTTTGATTGGCTTGTTCCCTGTGCAGCTTAGAAAACAGAGTCCCAGTCAGAAGAGGAATTCCCTGATTCTTAGTTTAATTTGGGAGGACCCATAGAGACAAGAATCCTTCAGATCCCACGGCTGCTGCTTTTGCGGCCTGGGGAAGCATTTCTGTTCTTTTTGCCACATCACTGATGATGCATGCAGTTCACGTGAGATTCACCCCCACAGGCCTCCCCTCCAGCTCTAACTAGTTCTCTTCCGCTCCAGAAATCATAGTCAGGCAAGCCAGAGGCTTTTGAGTCCGTGGGAATTTATAGAATAAAACTTCAAGGCTATATTAGTGACATATTATTTGTGACATAACCCTCAAAAGACTCAGTTACCATAGTCTTCCAAACTGAAGTTAAAGCTCCCGGGCATCTGTTTGTCTGCCACCCACACAACTACTACCTCCTGCACTTACCCCTGACGGGCCCCCAAAGAACAAGGGGAAAACTGCATTTCAGGCACACACTCTCTTTCCTGGAATAAGGAAGAAGTTCTTTTCCCTTTGGTAAGCCCACAGGGCAGTAGCTGGAACAAGGCTTTGATCAAACAGCATCAGTCCCAGCCTTGCCTCTCCAGATCTTATTAGCTCAGTGACCTTGGGCAAGTTATATAAGCTAAGCCTGATAATGTCTTTCTGAAAGTGCGGTTAAGATTAGTATAATTAGTGTTAATTCATAGTACTCTATAGAGTAAGAAACATAAAGTGCCTGGTACACAGCACCTAGTTAGTAGCTATTATTACAACTATTTAGTAGCTATTATAACTATTAAATCATCTTGTGTCAACCCCACTCTGAGGTAAGCTCCTGGAGGAGCTTTCCATTCTTTTTGTTTCCTTATGCAGAGCACAATACCTGGCAAGGATAGTTCTCAATAAAGATTTGTTGAGTAGGTAAATTCATCCACCCGTCCATACACCCATCCATACACCCAACCATCCATCCATCCTTCCATCCATCCATCCACCCACCTATCTACCCATACACCCATCCATACACCTATCCATCCATCCATCCATCGATTCATCCATCCATCCATCCATCCATCCATCCATCCATCCATCCATCCATCCTTCCACCCATCCACCCAACCATCCATCCATCCATCCATCCATCCATCCATCCATCCATCCATCCATCCATCCATCCACGGAACATGTACTGAGCACTATTAAGTGCCAGGTATTATCCATGTACTAAGGAAGGAGGTGCATGTTGTAGGGAATCATCTTGAATGTATAGAAGACCTGAACAAAACAGCAAAATCTGGCCCCTTGGTTTCTATGCCCTAGCATGGAAAACAGACAAGTGATATATAATTTGACAGAGGGAGAGAAAAAGAGCAGGATTAAAGTTTAGGGAGAGCTAGGAGTGGGGGGTAAGATCATTCTTTTTATATTTTAGAGGTCTCTCTGAGCAGGTGACATTTGAGCAGAGCCTGAAAGGAAGTAAGAGAGAAACTATACAAATATATGCATGTTCCAGGAAGGGGGCAGCATATGCAAAGGGCTGGAAGCAGGCATGCGCATGGTATTCCGGAAGAACAAGAAGGCCTGTGTGGCCAGAGTGGGAAGCATGAAAAGGCTTTTATCTCTTTTTCTACTTGATTGAAAATGAGCACACAACACAATTCAGTAATTGGAAAAGATGTATTAAAATATTCACAAAAATACAATTAAAAAAAATGGACGCAATGATTTTTACCCAACTGCACACATTTCCACCAAAAGCTACAGATAGTTTGGAATTCATTCATCAAAGTAATCCCTTTTAGGTGTCCCCTTACAAAAATCACCTGTCATTATAAAGGTCATTCTGCTGATAAGACATGGAAAGGGCAGCTGGCAGCAACCTCACTGCTGCCGCCTGTGGCCAGGCCCAGGGCACTGGGACACAGGAGAAAGGCCCAAAGCCTCCATCGGATATGGCTTGAGAAGGATATGGCCCTGAGATGTTCCTTGCAAGTATGAGCAAGTTCCTTTGGACAAGCCGGTCACAGACCCAGGAGGGATGCCAGCAGTGACTGCCCTTGCCTGGCAGGGAAGCTTGGTGGGGTGGGGAGACTCCCCAACAGAATGCCAAACGTTGGCAGGGTTTGAGGTGTCTGGTTGGGTGGGGAGGTGGTACTGTCTCGCACATGAGTGGGGGAGGGCCCATAGGCATCGTTAGTAGGGGTGCTGGCTGGTACCCTGGTGGCAGCTTCATGAACATAAAATCCTTGCCCCCAAAGGAGAAATGAGGGTTCCTGCCATCAGGAGTATTAGGGGCATATAGTTCATTCATAGCACCTGTTGAAAAGGAGTAGAAGAATGCCTCTTTTCTCTGAAAAATAACTATACAGAAACAGGACACATATATAAATATACACACATGGTCTGTTGACAGTTGTCCTTTCTAACTTAAAAACACTCTTGGTCAGCTGTACAATTGTCACAGTGTCAAAGGCTTACCAAGAGAATCGCGATCTTGGCATTCATTTGATGTACAGTGACAAGCCCACATCCGTTCCCCTCCCCTTCCCCAAAATACACAAGAGTCTTCTAAAGGCTCCTGCATTTTTCCAAGTGGGCACAGAGAGGTGTGAGGAGGGAAGGCAAAGTCAGCCATGTTGCAGAAACGGCTGGCGGAGGCTACGGTAGGCCTGTGAACATAGAAAAGACGGGGGCGCTGCACAGTGGGGCTCTTTTCCTCCACTCCTCACTGAACACGAACCAGACCTCACCTTCAGACGGCAGCTAGTAGGTGAGATGCTAAAACCTGTTCCCTGACTACTTACTATGAATGGAATGTCACTGGGATCTTATGGGAATAACAAAAATTCCTCAGAAAATATCAAACTGCTTAAGTGGGACAAAGTTAGTTTAGAAGTTCACATGGCACAACTTCACATCTAAATCCTCCTTTAATCTCCTTTAGGAATTCTCTAGAACTCAGGCTTCAAACTCCCTCACAAAGATGACAGAATTCAGGAAGGAAAAGGAAGCAGCTCACGGCGGACCTCAAACTAAATGGGAGGAAAACTAACATTACCACTTACCCAAACATTTTCTGTGACCAGCTAGTCCGTACTCTTCCCCTAATGGTAAAAATTTACTTTCAAAACAAATCATCCAGAAAAGGGGGGTATGAAAATATAAATAAATATTTAATGATCTTTACCATGCATTTCATTTTGAGTAAAAAATAAAAACTCCTACGTTTGAGGTAGGATGGGGGGTTGTCAATGGGAGGAAATGAACTGTTAGGAAGGATACTCAAATTACATATTTTTTCATATCATTGTTTATCAATTCTATGGAGTGGGGGTTGGAGGAGTTTTTAAAAACAGCAACCACCACCAACCAGGAATGGAAAAAAGATTCCCAAAGTAGAAGTACTAGCCCTACTTGCGGATTAAAAAGACCCTTAATCATCCTCATCCTCAAAGGTCTTGGGAGTGATTCCAGAGCCAGGAGATGCTGCCTCTTGCTGGAAGCTTGGCTGGAACTTAGTAAAGAAGAAAATTCTCTAGAGACTGACAATCCAATCATCCCACTTGTGCCTACTAGGAGGAAATGAAACTCTTCTTCAGCTGCATGGGGACTCTTACTACACGAGGGATTTCAGCAAGGAACATGACTGCTATCTTCGCTTTCTGTATAATAGCATCAGACTCCTCCAGCAAGGCGTGGGTTTTCTACAACCACTCTCCCTATGCTGTTGATCTCAAGGTACCTAGAAGGAAAGAACCTCTCACATTTATCCTTTGCTAATTTTGCTGGGATGAATCCACAAACTGATATGTTTAAAGGGTGTCAGGTTAAAGTAAGTCTACACAGCAGATAAAGTTAAAACCTGCCCTGTGTTTTAGAGAGAGAACAACAACATAACTTTTCCAGCTGTCTTCAAGTGGCATAGTAAATGGGTGTTTTCCAAAAACTACAGCCAAATAGTGCTGACACTGGGTTAAAACCACCCTGGATAAGCTTCCATCATAGTATTTCCATTCTCCAACTACGATAAGTGCTATGACTGGTTAAGCCCTTAGATAAAAAGGCCATGTCTACTGGAATACTAAAGAAACTGCTACCAGCTCCATTAAGGCAAACCATATCTAAACAATGGTGATAGGAATGTTTTTGAATTTTCCCAATTGTAAATGACCCTGAAATAAAGTACAAGTCAGCAAGACAATTTACATATAGGCGAGTAGAATCAAACCATCTTTCCATCATGCAACATTGACTCCTCACATCAGATTAAATAGAATATTTATACATATCCCTTATACACAGCTTTTCTTCCCTCTAAGAATAAACATGTGCTTGTCCGTGCCCAGGTTTGCAAGGTCACATGTGGTAATGGGCTACATTTTCTGCACGAGTCCAGTTGGCGTTTGTTTCTTGCTTAGGATATGATCTGAGTCTCCTCTTAATTTTTCCGGATGTCCGCATACACCACAGACTCTGACTTGTTAATCCTGTCGCTGTGGTGTCCACCGGAGTGTTCTAATTGCGCATATATGACTGGGCCCTGGAAAAGAGAAAGAGAGTGAGAGGAATGGAAAACTGGACATCCCCTCAGATGACATTAGAGTTCCAGAGCAAAGAGTTCCTTCTCTGGAATGGCTTCAAGACTTCTTAGGACTGTATGTCTAGGACTGACTTTAAAACAAGGCTGGACATACGTTGTAAAGGTTAAAGCTAGTACACTGACATTTATTGTTATCCTGACTCCTTTCGTATCTGCTTGGAAATTTCTACAACATAATACCCCTTCTGGGGAATTATTTTTGTCTTAATATCGGTCACAGAATTCCTCAACCCTTGTAACTGGTATCAGAGTCTTAAGGACTAAGACCGGCACTTCTGCTAACCTGAGAGAGACCCGCTAAAATCAGGAGACCTCAGAAGGATACACGTCAGAAACCAACATGCTCAGCACTGCTCAAAGATACAACCAATTTGAAGTGGTCACTTTAGACTAATAGGTACTTTAAAACATTTCAAATATTGTTTCACATAGCCACTTAGTGCACCCTTCTTTTAGTCTGGTCTTATTATAACTAATAAAAAAAAGATTCCCAAAGAATATATAGATTCTTTGACAGCTAAGATCAGATACCTGGTTTTCATGTTTGAAAATAAAATTCAGAAGAAAAACACAAATGCCACCAGGTACAGAGATACAAAGAAAAACCCTAGGTGGACCAAAGCAGAGGGATGACCTTGACCTCAGCAGTAAGGAAGGGGTCTCAGGAGAGCAAGAGAAGGATGGGACAGAATGATCCTCTGCTTTTGGGGGCAGGAGGTCTGAGCATAGTCTGGGGTTTCAAATATTAGACAGGCGGTTGTGCTTCATGACCATTACAGTCCCTTCCAATACAGAGATTCTCAAACCATAAACCGCAACAACAAAGCAGCCCTGGTTTTAAATGGCCAGCTCAATATAACCAAAAATCTACTTTTCTCCCAACCCAGAGAAATTCTGTGTGAGAAATCTGGTATTGTGCATTAGTATCTAATGTTGAAATCCTAAGCTCTGTATCCAAAAGCATGTGGTTTAAAATAAGTACCCTACTCCCATCTGGGAACCTCAACACCCTGTACCCTTTAGTGGGTGATTTGGGATCCTGTAAGTTCAGACACTTCAATATCTGCACATGGGACAAACCTTACACATTACACCTACAGGAGTGAGGCTATACAACAGCGCATCTGAAAGTGGACTTACAAATTAACCAAAGGTCAGACCCATTTGACCTTGGACAATCTGCAGTTTGGATTCAGAAGATATTCGTCTTAAACATGGTAGCACTTGTAACCATGAGGTTACGCATAATTGTAAACCTCAGTGCATTTTTTTAATCTCTAAAATGACAATAATAACAGTATCATACCTCTAAGGGTAGTTATGAGAATTAAATGAGATGAATCTATAAGCCACTTAGGCTGTGCCTAACAAATAGCACTCAATATACATTAGTCATTATTATGGACATCTTGTTAAATAAATATGCTTTCAACTTCTTGAAGGGGAATTGATCATGAAAATCAAATCGTCAAACTGTGTCTTTTGTCTATATGCGATATGCATACGCCTGTCATAGGTAACATAATAGATCCCACTGTTAATACCAACTCAAATCAAGGCCCTTTATGTTCTCAGTAGGCTGCAAGTTAAATGCCAACCCAAAAGGAAAACAGGAAAAAAATAAAAAAAAATTTATTTCTATTTTCTACTACTAGGAACAGAATGAAAACAAAATGTTTTCTGGTAAATTAACTGCTCCCTGGTACAGCTGCTTCCAAAGATAAGTCAGATTTCGAAATTAGATTTTGTAACTTCCTGGAAAGTATAGCCCTATGTAATTATTCCTAAAGACTCACTAGGAGTTTTCAGGTGTGTTCATAGGGGAAGGTATTTATGCATGTGCTCGATTGTAAAAATGGCTATAAATCCTTTCCCTGGCTGCATCTACACCCTTATAACAAAATACTAAAAGCTAAAATGAAACAACTATTGGGAGATAAACTTACTATGAAAACTTATGGCAGAGACAAGGTCTTCAGTGGGCCTACACTGAATGCAGAGTAAATAACTCAGCAACTCAACCCTGAGGAACATACTGATTTTACTCTCAAAGCCAATCTGGTGTTAATATTGCAAATGATTAAAAATGACAATACAGATCAACAAAATGGCTGAATCAAGTCTCACCAACCTTCAGAAAATGCAATGATCACATACATAGTCAGGCCTGTGCAGCACCCCAGGGGTTTACTCACAGGAGAAGCAAGCCAAATCTCTGACTCAGGGACAGCAAGGGCAGTGGGGTGCGTTGTCAGAACTGAAAATGGGGTGGCAGGCATGCTTACTAACTAGAAAGCCCCATTCTTTCCTGTCTCTGCTCAACTCTCAAGCAGGAAATCAGAGCATTTCTTTATGGAGAAATTGACTTACCTCAGGGAAAAGAATAGGCACATCCATGAAACTGGCCAGTATGTTAGACAAACAATGAAGCTCCCTACCCAATAAACTTCCTTGCTGTAAAGAGTTTCTGATCAGAATTTGAGTGCCTTAAATGTGAATGGGTAACCAAGGATTTCAGGGTATTTGAGAAAAGTTCTATCACGAAAGATAGAAATTTTGAAAGAAAAAAGGTAATTCAAAAGCAACAAAGTAAAATCAAGTAACAAAAGAAAACAAAATCATACAAAACAAAGAAAAATTGATATGTTCAGAAAGATAAGACAATGTATTCACGAAACAAGTATAGACCATTGTAATTAGAGAATAAGAATTTGCTCTTGAAAGTTAAAAAAAACAGAAATTAAATATTCAATCAAAGTAGATGAAGTTGCAGAAATTTTCTAGAAAGCAGAACAAAACTGCCAGAAAGGAAAAATATGAAAACTAAACAATTGATCTAAGACATGGTCCAATTCCTAACAGGACTTTCCAAAAAAGGGAACAGAAAAGGGGAGGAGGAAAAATTCTAAAGAATACTGGAAGAAAATACACTAAAATCTGATATTATTTTCAAATTGAATGAACCCCCTGAGTAGTCAGCACAATGAGGAAAAAAGACTTACAATTTTATGAAGTTCCAGCATACAAGGGCTAGGAAAGATTGTAAGAGAGGGAAATAGGAAGCAGAATAGTATCAACATCTTATTATTGGGAGCCAGAAATATCAGTTATGTGGGGAGAAATGATTTCCTACCTGGAATCTGACCCAACCTGATTATCAGTCAATCTGGAGAGAGGAGAATTAAAAGGTGTTCTCTTAGAGTTTGGGGAAGTCAGAAGTCTGATATAGGTTTCACTGGGCTCAAATCAAGGTCTCAGCAGAACCTTGTTTCTTCTGGGAGTTCTGACGAAGGGTCACTTTCTGGGCTTTTCTAGGTTATGGAAGCTGCCTGCATTCCTTGGCTCATGATCCCTTCCATCTTCAAATCTCTATGACTCTGACCCTTCTTCCCCCTCTTCTCTCATAAGAATGCTCATGATTGCATTAAGTTCACCCTGTAATCCAGGAAAATCTCCCATCTTGGGATTCTAGATCACTTCTGTAAAGTCCCCTCTGACAAGAAAGGTAACACAATTTGTGCATTACAGGGATTAAAAGAAGGACATCTTTGGTCATGATAGTGTCTTATCATACAAAGTCTCAAATTTTTATCTCCTGTGCACTCCTTCTCAAGAAGTTATGGAGGATATGCCCCACTAGAAAATGGAAATTGGGAAGGTGAAGAACTGAGGTTCAAAAGAAGAGAAGGCTGAAGAAAATTCCTTTGGAGATGAGATGCAGGATGACTGCTACAAAGCAGCTTGAAGTGCAAAAAAGATCAGAAGAGTCTAACAGGTATTTCTTCAAGAATAGAATGAAACCAAAAGAAAACGTGATGTTTTGAATGTACACAGATTTTTTAGTTAGAGAATTTTGAGATGGAATATAAATATATGTATAGATATATAAAGTAAGCAAATAACAAACAAGGTATAATTAGCTCCATGAAAAATTTTTTTAAATATTGTATCAGAAAACAAATGTATGTAGTACAGTGGTGGAAAAGATGGGTACGGGTAATACTGAAAAATAACTCCTTGTCTACAGTGAGATAAATCATTCTGGGAAGTGGCATGTGTATATAAGATACATGTATTTATGGAAGAGTGTGTTGGGAAGAAGGGTTGGTCGGCAAAAGAGAACTAAGGTAATTCTGACTCTGACCCGCCTTCATTTTCCATAATATGGAATGACTATATATCAAAAATGGAAAAACCTACTAACAGCAATATAATCAAGTTATGTAAAAATTATTTTCATATTTCTTTATACAATAAAATTTTCTTTATTGTATAAAGAAATAATAGTCTGGCAATTATTTCTTTATATGTCTTCAAGTTTACTAATATTTTCTTCTATAGTGTCTAATCTGTTTTTATGCCATTTAATATGGTTTCTTTTTTTTCATTTCTAGAAATTCCATTTCTAGATGCTCCATTTTGGTCTCTTTTATATTTCTATTTGTCTCCTCATTATGTCAGGCTTTTCCTTTTCATTCTTAATTTTGTCAGATTTATAATACTTGTTTTATAGTTCTGGTCTATGAATTCTATCATTTCTGTGTTTTATTTTCGCACATGGTAATTTTTGACTGATGCCAGACATTGTAAATTTTATATTGTTGAATGCTGGATTTTGTTGTAGTCTTGTAAAGAGTGATGGATTTTTTTCTTGCATGCAGCTAAATTACTTTTAGTTTGATTCTTTAAAGGTTTCCTTTTAAGCATTGTTATGGTGGGCCCATAGTATTTCCATATTCTGGTGATAATTTAGCCCCACTATGAAGTCATTAACATCCTTAATGTTGCACTCCAACCAAATATCCTGTACATTATAAAATATCTCCACTCCGACTTTTAGGAACAAACTGTTCCCAGTCCTGTATGAGTTCAAGACATTGTGCAACTTCCTACCTTTCAGGTGGTTCCTTCTCAGCTCTGAATGAGTTATCTCCCATACATCATAAATCTGTATTCAGTGAAAGGCTCATAAGGCCCTCACTCTAGATCTGAGGCTTTCTCTCTTTAGCTTCTTCTCAGTACTCTGCCTCATAGATTCTAGCCACCTTGGCCTGCCTCCTCCACTCAGTAAGACAATTATGCGGTTTCTGTTGTCTCTGTCGAGCAGCCTGGAAAGTGCATGGAAGCAGTACACTGAGAAAAGTGTAAGGCTCACTTATTTGTCTTCCCCAGGGATCAGTGCTATAGAACCTGCTTTCCAATGTCCAAACTCCATTGTTTCCATTCTTTTTTTCTAGTTTGTTTTCAACAGGAAAACAACTCCCACAGCACTTGAAGGGCAGAAGACAGTTTCCAAAGTTTCTTTAGATGTTATGCCTATCTGCAACTCTCATGCTTTTAATCCACAACCCTATTCCCATCTATAAGTAATGAGCCCAGTGCTGTGGAAGACTGTATAAAACTTGGGATCTAGCCCCAATTCTGTTGCTAACTGGGTATGTGCTTTTAATAATTTAATTATCACAATGCTTCAGTTTCCTCACCACATATAATAACTGCAGAATAAGACTAAGGGTTCTTGGGACTCCCTGGTGGCCTAGGGGTTAAATTTCAGCTCTATCACTGCTCTGACCTGAGTTCGGTCCCCAGCCAGGGAGCTAAACCACAGATGGAGCAGCAGACCATTCTTGTCTCACTTGCTGCTCCCCTCAACAGTGTATTTCAGTAGATTCGCCTGTTCTGCTCCCCACTCCCCACTCTGTCTCTGGTGAATCCTCTCACACCCCCTCTCCATTCCCCCTCTCCCCGCCACCACAACTCTGGCCTACATCCCAGTGCAAAAAAAAAAAAAAGACTGTTGTGGGTTCCTATGAGTTGACAACTAGCTGGCCACTCATGGGCAACTGTGACCTATTTACTATCTGCAAATCACAGCAGAGCATTCCTTGACTACCTATGGAGTGTAGCCCGTATCACGAGGCAAGGTCCCTGGGGACACCTAGGCAGCTGTTGACCTGATTATGTGACTATCTCCATGGTGGTCTCAGGATAACTCTGCTGTGATAACATCAAATACTTTGCTGGCACAAATGTCTTTTGATGTGTGGTCATGATGTCCCCTTCTCTGTTCCTTGTAAAACTTTGTCCCCCATTCCAATCCCACCCTCGGGACTTTATTCCTCATACCATTGTCTTGTGATCAGCTTTTACTAGCCTGTATGCTTTCAATAAATGGCAAGTAGCAGAGTCTTGCCTTGCAAACCTGCTCCATGACTACTGTGCTCTTCATCGCATTCCCACCGCAAAGTGGCAATAAAGTTCCTGTCACAACAGACGATGGGTTCTTCTTCCATAAAAGTTACTCATTTCTTCCTCTTAAATCCATTTTACTCATCCTATCCCCAACACCCCCTCAGAGCAAAGTTAAAGCTGGCCAAATTGCTTAGAAGGCTTCTACCTCAGAAGAACAGAGTGAAATTCCTCCCATCCTACAAGCATAGTTATCACAGCATGGCCAAAACACAGTATTAATCCCGGTACTAGATACTGTGCTAAGTTACAGATAAAAAGATTTTATCTCTTACTTTCTACAGGAATTAGAAACCAAAATTTTTCCTTGTTCATCAATTCTACTGATTATTGATAAATGTTTTCTTTCAGTTTCTTCTAAAGAATTCACACAAAATAATTCTTCTGGTTTATTTTCAATGTAAATATCAACTTTTCCTGCTAATTCCTTGTTTTATTGAGCACCTCAATATAGACTCTAGCACATTAAACTTATTTCCTTGAGCAATTAAGGGAGACTTTTACATCTGACAAAGCCATTTCCTTATTCCACTTGGGTCAGAGGAGCCACATTATTAATAAACCATCTGTTCATGCTGGCTTGGTGGAAACCTTTCCTCAGGTCAGATTCTTCCCCACATGTTTGCTTTTAGTTTCCAAACAGTTCTCTTATTTCCCTCTGTTTCTCACATTTTTGCTCTCACAGCCGGTATTCTTTCCTACACCCAGAAAAGTGACAGAGCTAGGGAAGTGACAGAGCACTGGCTATAGCCCAGGGGCAGAACTGCAATCAGTGGTTACCTGATGAGATCCAGAAGGCAGGCTCTTTACCAGACCCTCTGTGTCGGAGGGGGACTTCCGTGGAGCCTGTTTAACCGGTGACAGACTCTCTGATGTACTGCAGTTGATGAGATGGCAGTTTGGAGAACAAATGTAAAGTGAAAAATTAAAATAAATGGAAACAAAAATATAGAAAGGCAAGTGATGGCAAGATGAAGCAGTAAATGTATAAAAACAGAACACAACAAAACAAACGAGTATCAAAACGATCACATATCTTGCAAAGCTTTTTTATTCCTGACACTTATTCTTCCAAGTCAAAGAACCTACTAATGGAGAGTGGAAACCTACTAATGGAGAATACCCCACAGACAGCAGTGGGGTACAACCAGTTTACAAAGCGATATCTGCTAGATGGGGTCCTATCTATAATATATACTTATCCTTTTGCTATTTTGACTTTCCTCACTGCCATCAACCCTCCTCTGGTATAAAAGTTTAAAGGAGCAAATTTAACCTTCTTAATGGCAATTTGGTTTTGTGATTATGAAAAGCAAACCTCTTCTGAATATAATTCAAAGATAAAAGATGTGCATCCAGGCTTGCTATCTTGGCTTATCTTGTCCCTTTCAGTCTCTAGTTCCCCATGTTTTCTTACCTCACAAACCCACAACTAGTCCAAGGAAAACCCAGGACACCACCCATGAATGATACAAAACTGAGGAATGCCACAGCACCCAGGTTGAGCTTTTTCAGTGACGTGCTTTACTGAGAAGCTCAATCTAAATAAGTGAGGGAACGTGAATGCCAGGAGAGAACTCATAAGGTACTCTCTCATAGCGTGTGTCATCAGCAGAGCTTAAATCCTCTATGACATTTTCTTGTGAGGCTCACATTTAAAGTGTTGTTACTAATCAAAGCATCCCATGCATTTTGCAAACTGTTTCTTCTCTCTAATGGGTAGTTATATGCCCCAACCTAAAATGGTTTGAGTATTCTAACAAAAAGGGGGTCTTATTCATCAATGATTCATGAACAAAAACAGGAAACTAAAACAAACATACACACAAGCATTTTACATGTGGAACATACATATTCAGATGGCCACAAAATCTCTACGTAACCTGACAACCCAATTTCATTGACAACCCAATTTCATTGGGATGTTTTCAATACAAACAGATAACATATTTGTAGACAAATTATAATGGCTGTTGGGTTAGTTCAGAGCCAGCTGGTTAGTTGTCAACAAGAGAGATGGGTTGAATGCACACACATGAATATTAACAGCAACTGCAATGTGATTAGTTACCATGTGTCTAATGGGAGTGGAAGAGGAGACCCAGCCCTGTTATTCCCAGTGTGTCGTCTAAGTCAGCTTTTCTTAAGAAGTGGAAGGTAAACAGGATCTGATCCTGGCACACCAAGGCAGAAAGGCGGGGAAAGGGAAAAAAAAAAAAAAAACAACAAAGTAAGAAGAATAGCAGCATTCATGATGCCATGCAGGATTCTAAGGCACATATTTCTGCCCCTTCATTAACCCAAAAGCAGAACTATAGAAACTGTCATGTCACTTTTCTGGATTAGTTTCATGTTGAAAATCAACACTGCAGCTATATTTAATCATAAAACACTCATCATGCAAGGGGTAGATAAAGTCAGCAAAACAGCATTCCAGGCAAGTAATACTCAGTCATTAAACACAGCAGCCCTAAAAACTAGAGCAGCAGAGCCCAAAAGAGAGAGCTTCCCACCACATCCACCGGCAGGGTAGTCAGGACATGCGATCCTCAGAACACAGTCCCTTTGGGCGGTCAAGGTTAGCCGGAGTGCCTGGACACAGCTCATGCCATGTCAGCCTGAATCCAACCTTCACTCTGTCTTACCACATGAGTTCTACATAGGTTACTGGGTTAGCGTTGCAGCTGGAGTGGGAAAAGAGAAAGTCCTTCAATTAGATCCCAAACCATGTGCTCAAAGGTGTTCTCTATGAGAAGCCACATACAAAAAGAAACTCTACTCTTCCTTACTGCCAGTATAGTGGGTGTTCTCCCATCGTTATCCCAGTTTGAATGAGTCCAGTCACACACTTGAGAATGACCAAAGCACTAAAACTGCTTACAAAACTACAGCACAGAGAAGCCATGCATCAATACACTGGGTGGGAGTAGCTTATTCGCACGACTCTTTCTGATTAGAGTTTTATATTTACTTAACTGAGAAGAAGACCCTTAGAGATTATTAGGGACAGATTCAAACTAAGCTCATGTTGGGGGAGGTATGTCGTGGCCTGATATAACTGCAATGTGGGTGGGACTGAAGTGCGCAGCACAGAGTGCTGAGGTATTTGTGCTAGCAAACCTGTGAAAGAAATAGGGATTAGTGTCAGATCCCACATTTAATAGCAGACCCTGACTTCTGCTTGTCCACGATCCCTCCTAAGGGGACTGCACAATTCTGACCTGGAAGCAAACCATAGTTAAGTCTTCACAACTCATATTCCGTAAAGAGCATAAACCCCGGTTCCCTCCCTCCCACAGAAAGCAGAGGTTATTACCCAGTGTAGTCCCGTTTATAGTTCCTCCTTCTGTAGAGCACAGCCAGAATCATGCCGATGAGCAGAGTGAGACCCAGGACCACGGCCGTGACGATGCCCACCACCACCCACACGGGGAACACCGGCAAGCTCTCTAGAGGAAGAACAAAGCATGTTTAGGGTACTTGTTATGGAGATAACGGAACTTGATTGATTTAATAAGCAAGTGTCTCCCTTTAGCAGTTACCACTCCCTTTTTCATTATGCAAATGATGACATCCTGGTATTGAATGGATGACGTACAAATAAACATTAGCTAATAAGGAATAAACTACAGAACTAAGTATGTCATTTGTACAGTCTCTCTCAATGCTCTGAAATCAAAGAAAAACTGGAGATGTGACTTTATTTCAAGCTACTCTCCAACAAAGCAGATATTGTCTCAGCATGAAACCCTGCAACCTGCACTTAATGTTCATTCTCAAAAAAAAAAAAAAGCTGGGGGGAGGAATAGTTGTACAGTTTTTATAAAATCAAAATTTTCTCCGGGAGAATATGGCAACAGTACTCATGTCCCTCTTTACCAGTCACACCCCTACACTCTTATCACACATGAATTTGGTCTTACTCCTGATTAATACAGAAAAATTAATACTCTAGAAATTGGTTCAGTAGAAAGCAGGGCTCCATGCACATAAATGGAGGAACTGGCTGCTCTGTTGGAATGAGTCTTCGGTGAAAACACAGATCCATGGAAATAGAGAGGAAAAACCCCTTCCAATCACACCCAGAAATGGAACACTTGCTCTCCAAGTAAACACAAGATAAAGGGGTCTGTGTCATTCCTGCAAAAATACTTGAGCATATACCTTTCTCTACGACATAGAGTCTAATGTGTCCCGGCTGGACAACAATGTCGGGAGGGTTTTTGACATCACAGATATAAGTGCCATTGTGCATAAACTGCATATTTTCTATGTTGATTGATGCGTCTTTCTTGTCGAGGTCACCAGCCCAGGTGATTCTGCCCTTAAACGGTGGATAATTCCCAGGATACACCTGGCCTTGGGAGTAGTGGAAAAACTGCAATTAAAAAAAAAAAAAAAAAACCATGAGCTATTTATTTCTGGAGGTTAAATTCTGAACACTATAGTAAACATGCTGTGAAACGGTCTTTTAAAGACTTTTTACAAAAAAGAAAGACAAGTTCACATTACAAATCTTAAGCTTTGGAATCTAAGCCAGACAGAGGTTTGAAAATCGTGCTGTTCCACCCAATTTCAGTTGAAGAAATAAATTTGTGTATCATGTCTAATCCTCTCAATATCACAAGAATGTAGGGATTCCCACCCATATTTTTATAAATAAGGAAATAGAGATTCAAAAAAGCCATTTGCCCAAGGTCACAATGACGAAGATTGGCTAACCAAAAACAACCAGAAATACAGCATGCTCTTAAGATTAAATCTCAATGTATGTGCATCTTCCTTGACTGATTTAACAAAAATGCTTTGAACATAAATGGAACTGCTCTTTAAAAAAAGTCGTTACCTCTGGTTGCCTTCCTAAGATGGTACATTTTCTAGAAACTAAACAATGACCCTCACATCTTGGCTCTAATGACACAAATGGCACAGATGACATCTGTGGGAAGTCTTCACACATTTAAATAGTTCTTTGGACTCCCCAGAGTAAACCTACCTGAGCTCACTGTGGTCTCTATAGCCTGCCCCTGACTCACCTTCCCCCTGACATGTGTGTGAGGTTTCTTGCTCTCTCTTACTCCTTCACCTGGTCCTGCACAGAACTGCACCCAATTGGACCCACTGAGGAAGTCCTATACATGTGTAATCCCTGACTTTACCTTCCTCTCCCTTCCTCTCAGGCACCCCAACCAGCTGTCCTCCCTTTCTATCCATCCTGGGGAGCACTGATCCAATAAAGAATTTGGATATCAGCTATATATTCCAATTCAGGGCAATAAAGCTTTTCTCCTAAAAACTTATTGCAACAGAAAATAGTTCTAATGTCACATTTGAAAATGTAGTCACTTAGGCCAAACATAAAGATGTTTTTATTCCAGGGGCTACAGTCACCTGGATATAAACTCTATGTTTTCCCAAAGGAGACCCTGAGGAACTAAGATCTGTAGACAATTATAGGTAATTACTCTGTTCTCTCAGGAAAGGCATCCTGGGTAAATTCTTAACACAAAGGGCTGCAGCAAAGCAAAACAAAACACTTTCAAAACTTTCACAAAACACCAAATATGAGGCAGATAATTCCCTTATAGCTACTATAAGAGAATTTCTTAAAGAAACCCAGACCATGTATTCTCAATAGGGGTGCTCTCTCCTCCAAGGAGAGATCTCAGGAGATATACATGCATATATATATATATATATATACACAGAGACACATATACACAGACACATATGTATACACACACCCAGTATATCTGTAGAGCAAAATTTCATAGAGGGGTAGCAGCAATTAGGAAAAAATCTTAAAGTATCTTTAGGAAGGTGATAATGGAAAAACAAGAGGTTGAGAAACACTGCTTTAAGGAATTTCTAAAGCCTATAGAGAATAAATATTATTAATAGACTTTTCCATCTGAGAGAGAAATAATGCATAAGGGAAATACTATAGCAAGCAGAGTTCAACAAAACAGAGTTTGGACAATTGGAGCCTGAGTGATGTGACCTTGGAGAATAATGAGTCAGTTTATCCCCATCCCCACCCCCAACCAGGAAGTGGGAAAAAGGTGTGGAGATTTTATCACACAGGCAAATGAGGGGCTGAGCACCTAGCGATGATCAACACAAGTCTCTTAGCATTCAAATAAGAATTTACCTTAGAGAAAAGTGGCAGCCTGTCACTGCCAAGCACTGACAACCTGAAATACACAACACCAGTGAAGCAGGTACAGTGTTAAAAGACAGTCAGCATGTAGCCAGGACAACAGTAACATTCTAAATTGTACATGCACAGTTAAACAACATAGGTTTGAAGTGCAGGGGTCCACTTAACACAGATGGACCAGAGGAACTAACGGAGGTGAGCGCTTCCCAGCCAGTGCCTGATGAGAGGAAGAAGACAAAAGGAGGAGTGCCAGAAACAAAATCAACAATTTGGCAGAAGGTTCTGATTCTTCCAGATCGTGTTGACGTCTTTTAAGACATGACCCCTTCTGGGATACAGGCAATGAAGCTAAAGAAAATGGAGGAAGGAGGATTGGCATCATATAGAAACATTCTTAGAATAATTAAAAGGTAAAACAACAGATAGAAATTATGATGTATTTCTATATGTCTGTACAGTGACAGCCTGCCTCTGCTCTTTCCACTTCCACTTCTGCCATCCCTGAACAGGAAAGTCCAACCCTTCATTTCCTCCTCTCCTCCTCTCCATCTCCTCTTCTTTCCCCATCTACATAGCATAAAGATGGCAAGGGTGATGACCTTCATGATGACCCACATCCACTAACTGATGACTAATAATTACTTCCGCTGAATGAAGTCTAAATATTAAAAAAAAAATCTGTTCATCGACTGTTCATGTTATCAGTAAGGTCGCTGGTTAACAATAGGCTATTAGTTAAGTTTGAGGGAGTCAAAAGTTCTATGTGGATTCTGTGCATTCTTGGGGGGGTCAGTGCCCCTAACTTTCGCGTTGTTCACCGGTCAACTGTATTAGCACCTCAAGGCTTGGATACTGTCCCAAGTACTTAATCAGCAGCCACTGCACAACCAGTACTCCTCTAGTTGCTAACTAACCCTCCTCCCAAGCCTCTGGTGTATTTCCATTCCTTCCTGACCTTACGCAGAAGTCATCAGCACACCAGTCTTACTCCTAATTATTCCCCAAGTGAGAGCAGAGATTGTGTTGTGCACATTTTTGAAGAGCCTACAATGATGCCCACAGCACAGGAAGCTCCGGGTGAATATAGCTGAATCAAGACTGTGAGTCAAGAAACTGATAATTAAATCAGAAAGGGACTTCATATATATATATATATATATATATATATATATATATATATACCCATATATATATATGGGTAAAGTGTGTGTGTGTATATATATACATACAGTGTATATATATATATACAGTGTATATATATGTATATATGTATATACAGTGTATATATACTTCATATATATATATATATATATATAGAGAGAGAGAGAGAGAGAGAGAGAGAAAGAGAAATACTTAGAATAAATGCAAAATGGGCAAGTGTAAGCTGAAAACAGATAGGATAATCACGTTTAAGAGTCCCCAGTATCAGTTAGTGACTGCTCTGTGGAAAAGATAAACCTCAAAATGGTGTTGTGTTGATGGTGGAGAGTAACCAGGAAGATGACAAGGGTAGGGTGTCAGGCAAAGACAAGGAGACAGGCTGCCTATAAAAGATGCAGAACTTATGTTCTCTTGGAGAATTTGAACAAGAGAAGACCTGGGTTCTGCAAGAGATGGCACACCCATGACCGGAGAGTGTGCAGCCAGAAGCATGGCTCATTGGTCACACTACTCAGTGAAGAACCGGTTGAGTGGACAGCGAAGAGCAGGCAAGCATTCCTACCGACACGGGGGCTTCGGTCCCCTGCGGCTGGAAGCTCCAGGTGACTGAGGTCAACGTGCCGGTCATGTTAGTGGACTTGAACTTGCATGTCAGCTTCCCTTGCGTCCCATTTGCCACGAAGATTTCCTTTGGTGTGTAAACCTCCAAGGCCGATACGCCAGTGGTCACTGAAGAGAGGGAAGAAGGGCAGCTTAAGAGTAGGATTAGCATGAATACCACTGTGCATATATATCAGATAAGACCATGAAGCAAAACACAAGAAAGTTAGGAGATCCATGCTGTAATGCACTGCCATTGTGGACAGCATATTCCATGGCCAGGTACTGTCCTCCAAATAGGATAAACTGCTGGCAGTCTGGGATTGTTTTTGTTTTACAAGAAGATATTTTTACTAGTTCAGCCATACCCACTGTTTGTTTTCTTCTAAATGAGTTTTTTAAGGAGAAACTTTAGGTTTACTGAAACAATGAGCAGAATCTAGTGTTCATATAGATAGTCCCTCTTCCCTCTCTCAAGGCCCAATTTCCCCTATTATGAATATCATGAATTAGTGTGGTATTTTTTTTACATTTGATGATTGTTACATTAGTGTAAAGTCACAGGTTACATTAGGGTTCATTCTGTGTGGAACATTCTATGGGTTTTGATAAATGTATAATGACATATCTATCATTGCAGTAAAATACATAAGAGTTTCGGTGCCTTAAACATCCCTTGTATCCCACCAACTCATTTCTCTTCTCCTTCCCTTCCCACCAACTCATTTCTCTTCTCCTTCCCTTAAGCCCCAGCAGCCACTGAGTTTTTTCTGTTTCCATATTTTTGCCTTTTCCAGAATATGACACAGTGGATATCAAACAGTAAATTTAGTCCTTTAAGATTGGCCTGTTTCATTTAGCAATAATCACTTAAGTTTCCTCCATGTCATGTCATGGTATGACAGTTCATTTTTAATGGCTGAATGACATCACTGTGTGCATGTACTACAGCTGACCCATACACCTTCTGGAAGACATCATGATCACCTCCCTAATAGTCTATTATGAATGATGCTATGACCATATATTACTTCTATAAATAGTTCTCATATTCATTTGTCACACTTCAACTGATGTCATGCTGAACTTTTCTCATCTTCCACATTGAAAGCAATTAAAACTATTCTAGCTAAGAATACCTCATTTTAAAGCCACGTATGTTACTCAGCTGACCCCTTTCCTATAAAGGACTTCAGTAAAAACAACAAATGCTTAACATATTTTGGTTTTGCGAATGAAATCAAGTTTTTTTTCAGTGAACCTAAGCCCAGGAAACAGTCATTAAAATCTCCACCACTTGCAATATAAAAACAATCTTTTTCAAGACCTGTAATCAAGGACTGCTACTCAAATAAAAAAATCTTTACTCAAAGGACACTTCCAAAGACTAAACAGATATTAGAAACTTATTTAGCCTAAAATTGGAAACAAAGCTAGCCCAGAAAAGATTAGACCCATCATTTTTAACTGTTTACAATTTATTTATTATTAATAGAATTTATTTATTTTTATATATTTTACAACATTGCTCATTTTTGTAAATGTTTGCTTTCTCCTCTCAGGTGTAGTCCCCATGGAATTCCCACCACCAAGTCACCGTGTACCATCCCCATAGTCCACTGTGCTCTTTCCTCCCTGTTCTGTCCCCTCTCTTTCCCCCTCCCTTGTAGAATATCCCTGATTTATAGTTGCCTGTTAATTTTGTTTTTTAATTTATTATAATTATTTTTTTCCTGATCCCTTATTTGGTTCCCCTATAGTCCTGCTATAAGTGAAACCATCCAATATTTTTCTTTTTCCTTCTGGTTTATTTCACTGAGCATATTCCCTTCCAGTTCCATCCATGTTGCTGGGAATGGCATTAGTTTATCTTTTTTGATCACTGAGTCATATTCCATTGTGTATATACACTGCATCTTCTTGATTCAGTCATCTGTTTTGGGCATTCAGGTTGTATCCCTATCTTACCTATTGTATATAGTGCTACAATAAACATAGGACTGCAGGTATCCTTTTGAATTTATGTTTTTATGGATACACCATCTTTAAAATAAGATACAGGGCCTCCCTGGTGGCACAGCGGTTGAGCGCTGGGCTGCGAAGCTGCCCGCAGCCTCTGCAGCACCGGCTCGATCCCTGGCCGCTGGGCGGGGTTTCCACATGGGGACCTCTCCTGCGCCCGCTGCTCCCCTCAGCAGTGCACTTCGTCAGTCTGCCTGTTCTGCTCTCCGCTCTGGCTCTCGTGAATTCTCTCACCCTCCTGTGCTTCTGACTGTACCCCAGTGCTTGTATAAATAAATAAATAAATCTTAAAAAAAAAATAAAATATATATATTTTTAAAGATTTATTTATGCATACAAGAGGGGGGTACAGGACAGAGATGCGGAGGAGGAGGTGGGAGGACCCACCAGAGACAGAGCGGGGAACAGAACAGGCAGACTGACTGAAATACACTGCTGAGGGGAGCAGCAGGCGAGTCAGGAGAGGTCTGCTGCGCCATGTGGGTTGCTCCCTGGCCAGTGGGGTATCGAACTCGTGCTGCAGAGGCTGCGGATTGCTTTATAGTGCGGTGCTTAACCCCTTGCACCACCAGGGAGGCCCCAAAATAAGATAAGTTTTTTAAAGAAACAGTCTTGAGAGACTACGTTATCTGCCATATTCCAGTTATTCTCAGAATGTAACAGATGAGCAGAATAAGGCTGTGTGTTTGTTAGGGGGAAAAGGATGTCCCAAAGCAAATTCCATTTAGGCTTTGTGGACTCCACCCCCACGCAAGGTCAAAGCCAAAGACACTGGGAACTCCAAATCCCATCACCACCAAAGGGAAGGTGGCTGGGACCTGAGGGTGGGGTTAAGCAGCCAGGTGGATACAAAAGGCAGACACGTGGGCTTTGGGGGGTCCCCCATTTTTGGCTCTCCGCCAGCTCGCAGCGTCCGGCCAGCTCTGAGAGTGACTTTGGGTTTCCAGGTCGTCGGATCGGGTAGGACGCATTAAAGACTTTATTTCCCTATTTTCTCCCTGAGTTGTACATTTTCCTTATTTCTTTTTCTCTTGTAAATAAACCTTTTATTAACCCTTTTGTGTGTGTGTCTGTAGTGGAGTATTCATAAGTCCCTTTAAAGCGCGCGGGTGAGGACCCACAGCCAGGAACCCGTTTAATATCCGGGTTGCTCTATAACATGTTGTCACCGAGACTGCTGGTCATAGTTAGAATTTTTTCTTCCTGAGGTCTTAACTATGACTCTAGGCCAAGGAGAACCAAAGTCCTCCCCCAGTTCTCCCCACCATCTCCCAAATGTTTATTCTCAGGACACAATGAGCACTTTTGGCTATTCTTTTAAATAAACTGATAGCCACACTGCATCCAGCAGATTTTTTTTCTGCTAAAGAAGGTGGATTATTATTATAGGGAACAATGGATTATTATTTGCAGTCCAAACCTCCAAACAAGCCCTTCGTTCAAACAAGAAGCAAACAAAAGACGTTCCTTGCTATTGTGGGCAGGCAGAAAAGTAGCCCCAGGGCCCTTGAGTTCAAAATGAAGGACAAAGCACAAGACTGGATGACTGGACCAGCTGGTTCCAGGAAGCTGGTGTGTAACCCTTACTTTGTGTGATTTTGACTAGTTTTCTCCAAAGTGGTGAGCACGGCAAGGAAAACCACAGTCTTTAAGGTCAATAAACAAAGTTTCTCAAGGATTTTCTCAAACCAGATCCCTACCACAAGGCCTGTTTGCCATAACTGTTACTCTGAGATGTCATTTAATGGTGGAACTAGGCCAAGTGTCCAAGTTTACAGGCACGGAAGTTTCACCAAAAACACTAACCAGACCCCTAAATGGCTTTGGACAATCTTGTATTTAAGACAGACTTAATCTAATTGTGCCAAAGCCAGTTAATAAAAGGCTTTTTTTTTTTAATATCTCCTTATTCTTTGCCTAATTTTAAATATGTAGCTATTAGAACCACGGTTATGAATTTCAATTCTAATCCATCAGGTAGACACAGAAAAAAAGAAAATGACTCCACATGTCTCTAATCAAATTCCTCTCACCCCTGCCAGTTTCTGTCTTTCCGACTCTTAAGTCATGATTCTTAAAGATTTCCATCGGTCATAAGATGAACATTCCAAAATTTTGGTCTCTTTGTTATCTCTTCTTCAATAATCCATGCCAGCCCCTCGTCCCCATGGTCGTACCCTAGACCAGGGTGCTTCAACCTCAGCGCTACTGACAATTGGGCCAAATTATTCTTCATTGTAGGGGGCTCGCCTGCGTATTGTGGGATGTTCAGCAGCTTTCCTGGCCTGTCCTAGTTGTCTACAGCATCTCCCTTCCCAGTTGTGACAACCAAAAATGTCGCTGGAACTTGCAAGGGTTCCCTAAGGGCAAATCGCTCCTGGATGCGACCACTACCCTGGACTCAATCACCAATACCTGTATCCCCACTGCATCTCAACTTCAGGCTTCTCTACTCTCTGAACACACATATATTTCCAGGGCATTTCCCCTAATACCTTGAATTCATTCATCTTCGGTCACATCGGAACTTAAAATCCAACATTCCTCCTGTCTGTTTACAGTCTCTCGTTTCCAGCATGTCATTTGTCCCCCTCAGATTAGATTCATGGGGTATCAGATGCCTCATCCCTTTCCAGGCAACATTAATTCCCTTGCCTCTGTCTCCCTTTAGGGCAGTCACCTGGCCAAATCTCAATCCTGTTTAATCCCATTCTCTATTCACTCTGCATCTCTACTGGTGGCTCACCATAGCTGGAGAAAAGTGTGCAACCCCACTGACTGGTTTCACCATAAGTTCAAGGCCACTAACTTCAAAGGGACTTTAATGCTGCCTGGCAGTGCTTTCACATTTCTGACTCCACCTGCTCTCCACCATCTTATTTCTGTATTCTACCTTCTAACATCAGCTCTCTACCTTCTCCCTCTTCTCACACTCGGTTAATAGCTGCTTCCTATTTCACTGGAAAACAGAAGCAATCAGAAGAGCACTTCCTCATGATCCCAATCACAACTACCCGTCTCCTATATCTGTGTCCACACGACCTGCCTGTGTTGAGCATGTCTGCAACTCCTCTACAAGTTCAACCTTCCCATTGCGTACCAGATCT